CATGAGGTTGTGCAACGGTACACGTTTTGTTATTACTAAGCTCAACGGTCGTGTCCCAAATGCAGAATTTTAACTGATGACAGAACTAGTGATAATATTCTTATTCCTATGCTCACAATAATACCATCTGACTTGAGGGCACCGTTTAAATTTCAACATAGGCAGTTTCCTCTTATGGTTTCGTATGCTATGACAATCAATAAGAGTCAAGGTCAGTCTCTATCGCACGTCGGCTTACTACTGAAGAGCGCTGTATTCAGTCATGGACAGTTGTACGTGGCACTTTTTTAGAGTCACGAGTCGGAGGGGTTTGAAGTTAATGATTTGTGGTGATGAAAATTATGACGATAGAAAAACCACGAATATTGTATATGAAGAAGTTTATAATAATATTCAGATTCATTTTTTTTTAAATCATTATTATTTATTCTCCTCATTGATTAAGTTACGATTATTATTTTTCTCTGTCTTTTTCATTACTTTCTCCTCTATTATATCGCTTCTCGTGCAAATGCACGGTTAAAAAAACTAGTTGGGTAGGAAAAATGAACATGAGAATTTAAAGACAACATTATCATATCATATTCATATTAATAATTAATTAACTATAAATACATCCATTAATTACTCACACAGTACACACAGTACTCACACTCCAACTAAATGATCACATCATATACATATATAAATAGTACCCTTAAATACAGGCATCATCAAGCCATACAATATTGATCAAACATGAATGCTACAGTACCCAAGTAACATTATTCATTATTAAATATTATTTTTATTTAATTTTTGTTTCCATTTGGGCTTGGCCTGATAAAATATCACTGTTTGAGAAGCCTCCTTATAAAATCAGCATCAGCATTGGTTATTTCCCCATTAGCAAGAAGCTCAGACAACCTCTCACTTAAATCATCAACCTCTTTGTGCAGATTCTTGATGTAATTGCATGTCTCTCTTAACACCTTTGATGCTGCTATCTGCACATTTAATATCAAATTTTACAATAAAATTTAAAAAAAAAAAATTGAGTTATATATATGTGTATAATAATAATGTATAATATTTCATATTTTTGGTCACTTTCTAACTAAAACCATGCATGCATATATTATGTGTGGAACCTTTCTGTTAGCACATAATACTTACTTTTTTTTTTTTTTTTTTGTGTCAACAACTCCAAATTAATTTGTTGTTAGAATATCTTTTTCTTATTTTTGTTAAATGTATTTTAATGCTTCTTGAAAATGTGTAGCACAATACAATTATTATCTCTTAAATAGTAAATGGACTTGGTATCAGATGGATTACAATTTTTATTTTTTTTTCCTTCGAACGAGCTAATTAAGTGCTCGATTCGGTCGGTCTTGTTAACGTACGTAACGAATTTCTATTTCTTTTCATTCATCTTTAAGTATGTTGGAGAAAAAAAAATGTAGATGAGGTTGCTATTGCAATTTTCAGCGCCGCTGCAGCTGAATTTGTTTAAACATAATTAATTAGGAGACAAATAGTACAATAATATGCATGCCTTCATCAGTAATCATGTTCTCATATTTATAATATAAATCCCATTTCAAAAAATATTTGATTTATAGGACAAAATGGAATCTTTTGTTGCATTAGTGAAAGATAAGTTCCATCCCATACATATTATCCACATTTTAATTATCAAGAAACATGAAAAAAAAGACAAATTTAGAAATAATTAAGGATAAACACAAACATTAACCAAAATCCATAAACAAGTTAGAAAACAAACCAAGTTAGTTAAAAGAAAATCCAAATCATATTATATACATTAAACACAAATTATTCAGTCATACTTTCTTAACCAAAATACATACTTACACTAATGCATTATATTTTTATTTACATTGGGTACGAAAGTACGTAAATCCGTTCAGAAGTTAGGTACGTAGACAGTCTAACAACAACATTACTATATAACGAAAATATCGTCTCGATTTCACATATTATATATTATTACAAGTTAATTATATTAGGTTAATTAAAAGTCTTCTTTTTTCATGATTAATTTAAATTAACATGCAAAAAAAAAGGGGGGGTTATATATACCTTAGTAGTATTACATGAGGTTGAAGTAGAGTGAGGCAACAATGCTTGTAGTTTCAAGATGAGTTCATTAACCTCAGCTTCAGTAAACCTAGCAACTTGTCTTGGACCCCTTCTGTTTGACATTATTATTAATTTCACCCTATAAAAAAAATAAAAACACAAAATCAAGAGGCCCTCAAGTGTAATTACTTGGGAGAGGAAGTACTGTAGTACAATATTGAGAGAGTTGTGTGTGTGTGGAATCATATAGAGGAAAGTGGCACTTATATAAAGGGAAACTGAGTGTGGGAGTTAGTTAGAGAGAAGGGAAAAAAAAAAATAAAGGAAAAGAAAAGGTTTGTATTGTACCACCAGCAGTTGCAGCCAAATTAATATCAGTAGGGCCCCTTTTTATCTATCTTGTTTCTGATTGTAACTAGACTTCCTTCTTTTTTTTTTTTCTTTTTTTTTTTAATATAAATCAAGGTTTTAAATAGCGGGCTAAAACGTTTATGGCACTGTAGCTATAGCAGAGCTATAGCGGAGATTTAGCGGGATTTAGCGGCTAAATTGTACATGAATACAAATAGCGGCACGCTGCCAAAAAAAGCTATTTCTCAAATAGCGGCAACTTTAGCGAGCTATTTATTTCCTTGATATAAATTGAATAAGAAACTCTAAGAAAAAAACAGGTACATTTGTTGTCAATTTGTTATTTGTTGGTAGTAGGACGTGCAATTAACCGTAAGAGGGTGAGCCTATTTTCTATGTATGTATGTGAAGCGCAGTATAAGAAGGTTGTTGGTATGACTCATATATTGACAGAGGAAGAGGGCAGGCTGATGCCCCGCGGTATAGACGGGGGTGCGGGGGCAGAGCCCTCGCGGTACGGTACAGGGTATTTAAGTAAATGTATACCTTGTAGGGTTTTAGTATAAATACATGGTGTATTGATGTATTTGATACGAT